CTGCGGGGCGTCACGGCTCAGACACGGGAACCGGAGCTGATCGCGTCCGCTCTAGTCAATGCTTGTGTTGGGATTATACCAGCACGTTTCTGAACCATCCCAGAAGCGGCTCTCCAAGGTGTTTATACAGCGATCTGTCATGCCACATCAAAGACTGTCAAAACGCCATTTATTATTTGAATTTCCGGAGAAAAAAAAAAACTGTATTCGTTCGGTTCACATGCGTACCGAACCGAAAGACGGTTCGGTACGAATACGTGTACCGTTACACCCCTAATATATATATATATATAGTATTGGTTTTGTCAGATTTAGATCACAAAATTGTCCCCAAATTATAACTAACTAAACCCACATACACACGCTCACTCTCAGGTGCTCTTATCCACACACACACACACACACACACACACACACACACACACACACACACACACACACACACACACACACACACATGATTTATAAGCTTGTTTCCTCATGGGGACCTAAAAAATGTCCCCACAAGGTCAAAATTTACTAGTATTACTATCCTTGTGGGGACATTTGGTCCCCATAACGTGATAAATACCAGGTACACACACACACACACACACACATATTCAGGTGCAATCACACTTTGAGTGCAAAATTAGAATATTAAGTGAGACATGAACAGAAAAAAAGAAAGGAAATTTAACAAAGAGCCAAGAAGCCAGAAAAGGAAACTAAATATATTCTGCTACCTAATAAATTAATTACTTATATCATCATGATGGCAATGAATCTCATGTTAATTACAATGGGGAATCGATATATACACTGTCCTTATTTTCAAATGCAATTAATAAATTATTTGTTTTGTCATCTGAATGGTAATGAATCAGAGTTGGAAGCATTGACTCCCTCTTTGATGTGTCTGATCATTTTAGAAGGAAACTGGAAAGAATGAGGTCAGCTGATCACTTTAGCCAGCAACAACCAATTAAAAATTTAGGTTTTGGAAAGAACCAGCAATACATAGAGAATATCTGATATAATTTAATGAAATCTAGCATATATCAGAAACAAGCACACAAGTAAACACTTAAAGGGGTAGTTCACCAAAACATGACAATTCTGTATGACAATCTTTCTTCTGTGAAAGACAAAATATTTTTAAACTGACTTTCATTGTATAAATGCGTTGAAAGAAAATTGGTGTAGGATTTACTTTAAAACAATTTTCACTTAAAAATTACTAGTAAATTTCACCAATAATTACACGTGACATTTTTAAGTACAAAGACTGAAATAGTATATTCTTGTAAAACATACACCAATAATCCTACTATACCAATCTTATTTACAAATTAGATAAATATCTATTTTATTTGTAACTTAAAAAAAAAATCATTTTTAGTGTGTAGAGAATTTCATTGAAATGATAACAGAATTTTCATTTTTGGCTGATCTATCCCTTTAATTTACAGCAAGTTAAAGCACAACATAAAGCCTACTGCTTCCAGGTCTTTTTAGTATGTACTTCAACTGAGGTTGGTAATGATCATTTCATACCTGTGGAAGGGCCGCCTGTAGAGCTGGGCTGGATTGTTTAGCGATTGGTTAGAGAAGAAAGCCGATGGCGAGAGATGACAGGAGAGCAGCTGAGATGTTTTGAAGGAGAGACGCAGATGCAGAGGTGGCCGCTGGAGGCCACGGGAGCAGCTGAGCGGAACTGGACATGCACCAGAACCCAACACTTCACCACTTCACTCACATTTCCCACCCCCAGATACCACTGCTGTTGATACTCACATGTGCTCACAGACTCGCACGTACAAACATACACACTAAAATGCTAAACAATAGTGGAGCAATGCATAATTGGTCTATGCATTGTCACAAATGAAGAAAAGAACAGCTCTAAACAGATGAAACACAGGTCTCACACAGGTCAAACTTTAAGGAACGTACAGTGTTTGAAGGAAATAAGCGCATGTTTGTGTTGAAATGGAGGAGGAAAGGCCACAGGGTGCACAGGAGAGAGGTCGGGACAGAATGTCAGACAGCAAATGCGTAAACACTGATAGAGCGCTGAATGGATGAGCACTGACAGGAGACCCATACGGAGGGTGTGTATTCACAGGATCTGTAAGTGTTTATCTCTGTCCGTTTGTTTTGCCAGGACTTTCTTACAAAATAATAGAATCTGTCTTTGTTTTTAATCACTTCCATTGATCAGGTGAATATGGGCGTCTGAGAGTTGCTGTATTTATGGGCAGCCACTTTTCTAGCCATTAAAGCCCTCCTATGTCCAAAAAGCTTCACCGTAAATCCCTCTGATGTTGTAAAAAATCTCTTATCGGAGTTTGTCAAGAGAGTGTGTCTGGGCAGATCTGAGGCCTGTGTCACACACAGACGTCCAAACATGACTCATCACACCTGCCATGATTCAACTGGCACGGTCACAGAATCAATCAATAGCATGGGGACATTAATAATTCTTTGTTTTTTCTTTTAAAGAACACTGTAAAAGTGTTCATAGAACTTAAAAAGAAGTTTGTTTGGCTTTTTTGTGTTTAACTTGTCTACATCATTATTTTAAGTAAATAATCACAGTTACAAGTTGTCATAATTCATGATTTTCCTATATAACGCTTAAATAACGTTTAATAATTTATAAAAATAAGCATTTTTATTACACTATGTCAAGTTAATTGCAGTTTCCTTAATTTTTTAACTGCTATATTTCATATTTATGCGTATTTCATCTCATGTTGTAAGAAATGGACATGGTGAGCAAAGTGCTTGTGGTGTTAAACTAATGACAACATCACATGAATGCCCAGGAGACAAAACACTCCACTCAGCCAACATGCTGACTTCAACACTTGACTAGGGTAACAATCAACAAAATTTTAAGTAGAGGTACAAATTCATCCTGACATCACAAGACAAGAAGTTAGTAAACGTGTTGGCAAAAACATAAAATACAATAGAGATCTACCGATATATCGATATTTAAGCATTTGACCATAATCGGATATCGGTTTTGTAATATCGGATTCACCGATAAAGTTTATGCAGCTTGGCTCTAAGGCTCTAATAGAGACCAACTCACAGAGTCATGTAAGATAATCCGTCAAGTCCTGTCCCAATAAAGACGTAACTTTGCCTGAATTAAATAATATGCAGCCATGAATGAGCGCATGTTGGAAATAAAAGCGCTGAATTGAATTCTCTCTCCATTGTCTATGCTCATCGTTAGTCTCATGAAGTCGGAGTCACTTAGATAATCCATCAAGATCCTCTCCCAATAAAGACGTAACTTTACATGAGTTAAATAATACAGCCATGAATGAGTTTCGTGAAGCCGCTTTCATATTGCTGTTCACTCACTGGGTTGATGCTCAGGAAATGCTCCACAGCACGGCCACTGCATGTACCTTTTAACAATTCACTTGTTTAAAACACCCTAAATTGTATCAACATTTACTATATAACCATTATTTCGCTAATAAACATCTAAATAAATACAACTCTATGGAAATTAATGATTTATTATCTCCGCAAGCGATCGCAGTTTGCGTATAGTTCTGTGTAACTGCATAGATAAACCGCGCTGTCAGCAGGCATTTCATAATCTAGAAGGACAAAAACATTATTAATAATTCTGATATAACATTCCAGTTGAGAAATGCAATAAAATATGATGTTTTGTTTGTTATATTCCAATATTCCAGAGAATATTATTCAGTGAATTAACATTATCCAGTGAATTATTCTTGACTCTGTAGCTATTAAACAGCTTATAAACCTACTAAAACTGTAGTTTAAAATGAAGTTGATACGACTCCTGTCCTTTATTTATTTTCTCCATTTGAAAACATTAGACATTCTACATTTATTTTGCTTATTGTTAATATTAGTGTTGTTGCTTTTTATAAATACAATGTTTTTTATTGTTGTAATATGAAGATTAAATGTAACATTAAAGACTGCTAATTTTCAACACTTCTAAAAAAAAAAAAAAGATGACTGAAAAGAGGAAAAACCAAAGTGAAATATCGGTCGATCACTAAAAAACAACATAGAAAAACTGGAAAATTTCCAAACATTTTCAACCATATTATTCATTCATGCCCCAGTGGGAACCCCAGCACCCTGAGAAACCATTATGTGTGCAGCTAGTTAGCACGGGATAAGCATTTGGAACACAGACATGACAGCTACGATACTCAAAGCTATGACATTATCAGACTTATCCAAATAATTGTTGGTACAGTGTGGAGTATCAAAACATGACCCATGATTCAAATCCAGGTCACCCACATTTAAGAGCATGTTTGCTAGCAGCTCATCTCCAACACTTACAAATCTGAATGGCAATAATAATGAAATAAATACAAAATGCTAATAATACATATTGAAATTACATCTAAAATATTTAAACAAACTGCCACTTTATTGATATGTGGGGCTGAATCAATATTACACTAAAAGTTTCAGTATAAACCTATAGTGCATTTGAACCTATATTGAAATTTACAGCATATTGTAACAGTAAGTTTGTTAGAATAGTAAATAAAAATACAACTATCAAGTGTTATTTTTTCACTATTATTTACTATTTCTAATTTTACAGTATGCACAAGATGACACATATAGCACAAGCATTGCTTAATGTGCCGATTAGTGTGGGAGTTCACAATGGAGACTGATTTATCAACAGCACTGACCTTAAAAAATGTCCAAAAACCAGCTAAACAAAAAGGTTCTGTGGCCCTTTTTCAATTATAAGGCTGTGGATTATCACACAGCACACTATGATCATGTTCACTTGAATGGCAACATAATTGCAATTACAGTGTTCAACAGTGGATGAAGATCATATAGTCTGCGTCGCATAGTTACAGTAACTCTCTTAAAGCATGGGAAAACGTTGAAATACCCATCATTTTTGTTGAGTGTATAAACACGTGAGTATGCACGTGCAATTGAGTCACACATTGTGTGTCAGAGCATAAGCATAGATGTGCATGTTTGTGTCTCTCCGTGTGAGTGTGTATTTAGTGCTCACCGTGGTCTCGTCTTCATGGAGCACCTGGTCGTATCCACTCAGAGCCACACAGAAGATAATGGCGGTCACGTCCTCAAAGCAGTGGATCCATTTCTTCCTCTCCGACCTCTGACCTCCCACATCAAACAGCCTGAGTGGACACAACTCAACATGAGTTCACCACACAATAATGCACTCCATCACACAAGCAACATACACTACCGTTCAAAAGTTTGGGGTCAGTACAATTTGAATACTTTTATTCAGCAAGGACACATTAAATTGATTTATAATGTTATAAAAGATTTAAAATAAATGCTGTTCTTTTGAACTTTCTATTCATCAAAGAATCCTGAAAAAACTATCACAGTTTCCACAAAAATATTAAGCAGCACAAATGTTTTCATTTAAAAAAAAAATATGCTTCCAGAGCAAATCAGCATATTAGAATGTTTTCTGAAGGATTACATGACACTGAAGACTTAAATAATGGCTGCTGAAAATTCAACTGCAATCTTTGATAATGTAAATGCAGACTTTCGAGACTTATATGACTACACTTACATGAGACTATTATATGACTATGACTATTTTTCCTCAATATTATTAGCGGATATGTCATTCAGATGGTAGCTGTCCACTGAGGCCCTGCCCTTTTCTGCGGAAATGCTAGCTTCTGCCGTATCAGTATGGCGAGATTCTAAATCTGTCTTCAGAATAATGGAGGCAGATCTGTCTGTCTAACCCACATCAACACTTTTATTTTAGTCTTCTGTTTTCATGTGCTATCAGCTGAGAGAGTGAAAAAAAAACCTGTGAATGAGGAGATGATATGAAGTGAGATGATGTCGGTGTTTGGAGATATTCATCTGTGTTCATCTTGGTCTATAACCACTCCAGTTGTAATGTGAGTTAAAAACACTTTTTGCTACATATAGCAGATCAGACTTTTTTCATCTGAAACGTGGCCTGATTATGAATCAGGAACGAGTGAAAATAATAACTGTAGTACTCTAACAGCCGGCGCAAGGCTCTGAATTACACACTGTACATTCAGATTAATAAATTCTATGCCAATCAGTCTCACCTGAAGTGCAGGTTCTTGAAGGTGAAGTGGGTTTCTACAATCCCGGTGGTCTTCACTCGAGTTCGCAGAATGTCCTGCTCTGTGGGCTGGTAGTCTGCAGCACCAATCCGATCTAAACTGTCTAAGTAACTGGAGGAAGAAAGAAGGAATGTCCGTTACCCACAGTTTTCCACAGAATCTCAGCAACTGTCATTCACATGAAGTAGAAAAGTCTCTTTGCAGATACTAGTAGCTTTTCAACCAAGGAAATCCATGCGTTGTTGTTTTTATTTCTTAATACATAAAAACATCACAAATCAATCTCTTAAAGGGGTGGTTCATTGCGATTTCACTTTTTTAATGTTAGTTAGTGTGTAATGTTGCTGTTTGAGCATAAACAATATCTGCAAAGTTACGAAGCTGAAAGTTTAATGCAAATGGAGATATCGTCTTTTAAAATTCTGGCAGTTTAATGCCTACAAAAACGAC